TATTCTCTTGCATTCAAGCTTACAACAACTTCCAAAATGCTTACAAACGTTTTCCAAAACCTTTTTCTCTAACCCCGTTTTCCAAAACCGTTTTCCCGAGAACGGGGGTGGAGGTTGCGACAGATAGCCTTTGTGCCACCGGCTATTCGTTTCCGCATTGGCTGACTTGCTAGAGAGTGAAAGCAAGTGCCGCACAATCGCTTCCCGAGTCTCGTTAAAGTGCGATTGTGACACCGCGGGTACGGAATAACAAATGTCTCTGATGGGTGGATTGCACATTTGGTGTTAGGAGAATGCGTTCTAAGATGCAAGAAACCTGTTCTCCATCATCCGGCTCTAGGTAAGCCCTTTAGAATCTTGAATGTGTGCAGCTTCAAAATCTTGTATATCTTCAACTATATTGACAGTTTTACGTTGAGGGCATTCATTCGATAAGTGTTCCACTTGTCCACAACGAAAAAATTTTCCTAAAGAGGGTCGAGCGTAGGTATTTGATGTCTTTTTAGTTATAGGGTCAGCTGGTTTTACCTCATTAGAACCCTTGCCTTTAATGGCAGTTGTTCCACTAGAAGTAGCTTTCTTGGAGGAGCTGGCTTGGTAGTCACCAACGGTCCTTCGTTGATATTGTACACGAAACCGATTGGCTTGTTGTTCTTCAACGGTAACTACCGTGGCAATGGCCTCATCGAGATAGCCAATTGATTGGAGTTGGAGTTTTTCTTTGATGTCTGCGTGCAGACCGCTTACAAATCTTGCCACTTGATACTGCTCACTCTCGCCAAGATTCGTCCGGGCTCCTAAGCGATGGAATTCTTCCGTGTAGTCAGCAACAGATTGTGTTCCCTGTCGACAATTTTGACATTGATTATACAATATCTGTTCAAAGTTTATTGGTAGGAAGCGGCCCCGCATTAGCTTTTTCATTTTCTCCCAATTGCGGATAGGACCTCCCACCAAGCAGAGGTGCCGCCTTTGAGTTTTAGAGCCACCAATCTGACCTTTTTGTAGTCTGGAGTTGCCATATAGTCAAAGAAATTTTCTACATTTTTCACCCATTCCAAAAAACCTTCAATATCCAGTTTGATCGTGACGGAGATCAACCTTCATCTTGAAGTCAGTTTGATCGTGATGATGGTGGTGCTGCCCTCTATACCGTTGCCTATTGTCGGAGGCGAATCCTGGCCTGCCACGTGTCACGATCGAAAAGGTGGGTTGGTTAAACACGCAGGCGAAGTGAAGAAAGCGGCTCCAAAATACTCAGGTCGGCAGTCAGGGTAGGACCAATAGTGCCKAGCTGAGCTGATGCAGAGTCCGTAACAGTGTCCCTTCCGTGCCCGACAGCACGYCGTGATTTCAGGGTGTGYCAGAATCCCTGYCGGGCYCAGTTTCTATAAATARAAACYCTTGCCTTAAATGCAAGGTACGCAATCTTAAGTAGACTCGGCAAGTTAGCTCGGACTAGAACTAACTTGCTCGTCGGAGTGCTAACTTTGTTTTGCAGGTCTCAAGAACTGTTCAAGGGAGGTGCGGGACTATTGGCTATAGCTCATCCTGAGCACACCGATCTAAATCGTGTCCGAGCTCAATCAATTTCGGGCTCAAACACCTATCATTGTTCCAGTGTGGATAGGCATCTTCGTCACTTGAGGAATTATCTTGCCAATCTTGTCGCCGGTGGAAGCGATTATTCCTTTGATGAAGAGGTTGATTATTTCGCCAATCTTGATTCCACCGGGGCAGACAGAGAGGATCTTGGACATATTGGTGGGGTTGATTTTGGAAATCAGGCTCTGGTGTTTGAGGTATTGTCCTGTCTTTAGTGAATCGGGTGGGTTTCTTGCTCAGGGAGGGGATCTTGGAACAATCTTTGAGTTGGACCTTTTTTCTCTCGACCGATGACAATCCCTTGATCTACAATATCTTTTCCATTCTTCTATCTTGGCTGTTCTTGCTGTACTCGCAATCCGTCAATCTTGTCTACTAAAACGTTCAAAATCTGTTTGATCTCTACCACATTCTGCTGTAAATTTTCAACAGCTCCTTCAACCATCAGCAAGCGAATGGTTGATGATCGTGGAGAGAGAGCGGTGGTAGGTTCCGCTTCTTTATCAACGAGTGAAGAGTTTCCTCCAACCGGAGCATTCTTCCTTCCCGCCATTGATAACAGCCTGAAGGACGTTGGATGCTCTGATACCAAATTGGTGTGATTTATGAATTCAAATCTTATTAGAATGATTGAATGCCTTAAATGATACAAAGGGCCTCCTATTTATAGGAATAAGGCCACTGACAAGAGAGATAAAAACAGAGAAGGCTAACTACTAAACTAACTAATAGTAGGCTAACTACCAAACTAACTAATAGTAGAGTTAGTTACATCATTTTTGAATGGGCTTTTGGACTGAATATAAATTACAACAATCAGAGATATTGGGAGTCAACTTACAACGCCACACCATCAATGACATTGCAAAAGCTTTCGACTGCAAAGTTGGATCATGGCCAGTGACCTACCTAGGCCTTCCTTTAAACAGGAACTATAGAAGAATCTCTTTTTGGCTCCCTATCATTGAAGAATAGAATGCAAGCTTGCAAATTGGAATCACCTCTTCATTTCCAAAGGAGGTAGACTATCCATCATCCAACCCGTTCTCTCCAATCTCCCTATTTATTATTTCTCTCTTCCAAATACCAGTTTCAGCTGCAGGGCTTATTGAGAAATTGATTCGAAATTTCCTATGCGACGGTCCTAAAATCCGTGGGAAAGCCCACCTCATAAATTGGCAAAAGGTTCCATTCATTGAAGGTGGCCTCGGCATTAGAAATATCAAGCTAAGGAATAAAGCCTTACTTTCCAGATGGAGTTGGAGGTTCCTTACTGAAAGGAACCATCTTTGGACGTGTGGAGGAGATTTATTACAGCAAAGTATGAGTTAGCTCATCTTGATTCATGGACATCTAGAATTTCTGGCTACTACCAAGGGCCGTGGAAAGTCATCCTTAATCACGTGGATTGCATCAAAACAGAGGCTTTTTGTAAACTTTGTAGGAAACAACATCTCGTTCTGGCATGATAATTGGCTGCAAGGCTCTTCCTTGGCAGCGGATTACCCATGTCTCTATGCTCTTTCCACCAACAAGTTGGTGTGGGTTTTAGAGGTATCATCTTCATCAACTCTATCTTGGGATTACACTTTCCAAAGGCCTCTAAAGATGATGAAATCACTAGATGGATGGAATTATCTCACACTCTCTTCTCTATGAAGCCCACTAATTCCAAAGATATATGGCAATGGGATGGGGACCGTACAAAAATCTTTACTGTACAAGCCATGTTCAACAAGTTATCTCATGGTTTTGCAGACCTACAACTCCATCTCTTATATGCTTCTATTTGGACAGATAAATACCCAAAGAAGATTAAATTCTTTTGTTGGGAGCTTAGTCACACTCTATCAACACCTTTGATATGATTTATAGATTCCATCTCTCCTAATTGCTGCCATGTATGTGCATGGATGATGCTGAAACTCAAGGCCATCTCTTTGTGTCTTGCAATTTTGCTACTGGTTTTTGGAACAGGATAATGAATGCCTTCAGGTGGTACTTTCCCATCCATCATAGCCCAAAAGTTATTCTCCTGGCGGTTTTAGTTGGCCATTCTTTCAAAAAAGGAAGCTTGAATCCTTCGGAAACAAATAATCAGAGCCTTCATGTGGAGCTGACACTTCCGCTCATTCCAATAGGTTTTTTATTAGGGTTATGCTTTTGGTTCTTAGCTGGTATAAATGTCACTATCCCCTTTTCCAATTATAGTCTTAATGGCCTCATTTCAAATTGGTTTGCTTTTTTGTGATTCCGTTTTGGGGTACATCCTTTTTAATTTCATTCACCAGTGAAATTTCTGTTTCTTACCAAAAAAAGAAAAGCATTATATTTCTACCGGCTGATGTTTCAGCTTGGATTTCAAAAATATTTTAATTTTATGTTCTTCACATGGCATGGTTATCTCTAGTGATTTAACAATACGATAATGTGTACTAGGATAATTTTGCTCTTCTGCCACCTTGTAAATTACAACCTTCACTTTTGTGATTTTGGGTGTTAATTTGCAGGAAAATGTTACAGAGTATCTACCAATGCCTGCACTATTTCAATTTCTAACATTATTGGCTTTTACAATATTCTCAGATGAACAGGTATATGACATTAGTTCCATTTAATCGAGTTCCTGTTTGAACAGTTTAAGTGGTTGCAACAATTCCTTGTATTTCCTTGTTTTTTTCTTAATCAGATTTGTGCAAGAATTAAACATTTGATAATATCATGGACTTCGAATGTAATTGCATGATGTGCAAAGTTATCTTACAATTGGCTAATAATAACCTTTTATCCTTCTTTCAGAAAATCTTGTAATGATTAACGAAAGATAGAGAGGACAGAGTAGTCCTCCGCAAACTTAAATAGGGTTCTTCACCTCTTGCGCCAATTCTAAGTTTCTATTTTTCTCCTTCAAATTTCTAAGAAGTTGGTGGAGTTTCAACTCTCTCTCTTTTTGATGACCTAATTTCTATTTTAAAATTTTGCCAACTTACCAAGTCTCATGACAAGTAAGTTATACCAATAAAAAGGGTGTAATTGAAAAATGTTACAATTGAAGTTACTAAATTGAAAATTTTTAACCAATAGAGACTAAATTGAAAAATATCAAAACCTTTAGAGACAAACATTTATTTAGCCTTATTTGTACCGTGTCAGCTTGCCACACCAGCAGATGTAAAGTTCGGTCATCTTTCTGTCTGGTAGACTAACGGTTTTACCAGTGGAGGGACATTTTAAACCTATTTCTCAAAACTTTGGGGCTAAGATCCATCTTTTGAAAACTCAAGGATGACTTTATTATTATTATTTTTTTGTTTTATGAGAAGTCAAGATTTCATTGAGAAGAATGGAAGAATGCAAAAGGGGCATATAAAAAAACAACGCAGCAAAACGAGCCTGCAGAACTAAAACAAGAAGGCATTCCAATCTAACAAAAACTGTCATAAGCTTTTTGTAAATGATGAGAATGACCTAACCTATAAGTAAAATGTCAAGGACTTAAAGGGTAGCTTTCCCAAGTTTCAATTATGTCCTTCAACGTTAGATTTTGATTCTAATAAGTCCTTTAGATTTAGATTTTTCTTTTTTATTTTATTTTTTTGGTATAACTTTGGATTTTGATGCTAATTAGTCCCTGTTAACACTGTTAATTAAATGTTAACATGGCTCGCTTGGACTAGTTAATCCCGTGATTCAAGAAAATAGGCTAGCTTAATTTCTAAAAGTCTAGGACACAGGCACATACATGTTTATTTTTTAACCATTATATTTATACACCTCAATGATTCTCATGCTAGAATCTTATTTTAGTTTATGACGCTAAAGCATTTATGGTACAATAATTTTTGTCAAAATATTCTAGTGTTCATTTTTAGTAACTTGGATTAAAAAGTTACATGATTTTTCTTCGTGTGTTCCTTTTTTTTTTCTCTCTCTCTTCATCATGTAGGTTGATGTTGCAATTATTGAAGTTGGTCTTGGGGGAATGTACGATTCAACGAATGTGGTATCCTCTGCCTACTATAATAGGGGTCTATTCAGAGCTTTTTAGGTTAAAGACTAGTAATTATGAAAACTTAAGATTAATAAAATTTGATTGATTAATTTGTGGTTATTGTGCAGATCAAAGAGCCTGTAGTCTGTGGCATCACTTCTCTTGGGATGGACCACATGGAGACATTAGGCATATCCTTCTTACTTCTCATTAAATTTTTCCACCTTCAATTCTTTAGGTTTACATTATTGAATGCTCAATTTACAGGACATATGAATTCTTGAAATAAATTAGTGATCAACTTGTTATACAACTGGTCTGAGCATTCATATGTGAAACAAAAAAATGAATTACTAGTGAATTTAAGGTTGGTTGCTTAAATGAGATTTTGACAACGATAAATGTTGCAGGAAATTCGCTTGGGATGATTGCTTCGCACAAGGCTGGAATTCTAAAGGTAATAGTGTCAACGTAAGCAATTGCAATAGCATGATTTTTTTAATTTTGTTCTCAATATGGCCAACCAGAGCCGCATTCTACTCTGTTTACTTAGAATTACCTTTTTGAAAGATTAAATGCAGAGATATTGCACCAAATGATATGCATGACTTTTGTTTTTCCCCCCTCTTTTAGCTTATTAGTGTAAATATGTCGATCAGTGCAAATGTGCAATATTTCTACTATGAGTACTCAAAATTGCTGGTTAGAAGGAAAAAGAAAAATGAAAAATATTGCTCCATGCCTGATTTTCACTCATATTCTGAGTCAGCTTCACATCTTGTATCCTTGTAAAGCCTCAAGTACCTGCGTTCACAGTACCGCAGCTTCCAGAAGCAATGGATGTTATCCAGAAGAAGGCACGTGCGTTGATGGTAAATTTCTTCCTCCTACGAGAAGATTAGATGTAACTCAAGCTATCGTTTGGCTTATTATCATCTTCATTGTTTCTCTAGGTTGTATACCAATATTTGTAAACTTGATTGAATGAAATCATAAACTGGATTTCTTTTTTCAACAAGATTTTGGAGCAACCAATTGAGAAGTAGAACTTTCTTTTCAAAAATTCAAGAACCCGGTAGTTAAGATTTTTGATGCATCTTATAATAACAGTGGTAAAAGTCTTGCATCATGTGTGCTGTGATTAGTAAAGCCCAGACACATTGATCATCATCTTATTGAATTTCTCTTTGGTTTTACCAGGAGAAAGTCCTCTAGGTTAATGCTTGTGGTGCTCTGCTTTGGCACATCTGGTTGAAGTGTAACAGCAGATTTTTCATCTCTAAAGCATGTTATTTTTCCAATGCTCAGAATTCTGCTTTGCTTTCTGCTTCTTATTGGTGTACAAAGCGCAATTTATTTTGTAATTATGCTATATCTTCTATGCACAAGCACACCAATTGGAGATCTTCTGTGCAAATCTTTGGCATCCTTTTGTACAAGTATTTCATTTTTTCAATGAAGTTGTCTCTTTATCCCAGAAAAATATATAAAGCCGAGACTGAGTAAAGTAAGGATCTTACATGATTCATTTTATTGGTATCGAAGAGATCAAGGTCAAGCTTGCATCAGTTAGGCTAAAATTCTGAGCAAAAAAAGTGAATGAGTCTACTTGAACATGCTAGTTATACTAGAGCTGCTACAGCTGCATACTCATAATTCTACTTGTGATGGGCATATGAAGACTCGTTATAAAGATCTTCACTGGACATTGATCGACTTTATGTGTACTAATTGCAGATCCCGTTAGAGGTAGCTGAACCTCTTGATCATAAAAGGCTAGATGGATTGAAGCTTGGCATGTCTGGTGATCATCAGTTAGTTAATTCTGGTCTTGCTGTTTCCCTTTGTAAATGTTGGCTCCAGAGGACTGGAAACTGGCAAAGGATATTCCAAAATGTTGGTCTAATATTCTTATTTTACTTTATGCTGTACATGACGTTGTGTCAGTGGTTTCTTTCTCTAATAGTTGGTCGTGGCATTTAGGAAATGGGAGAATATAATGACTGGTGTTAGGTTGGTCGGTCTGTTTTTCCCCTCCTTTCTGTTGACCTGCATGTTATATATGCTGCATGTGCTTCTCTTGTTAAGACATACGTACATGCATTCCAACATATCTATGGAGAGAGATAGAGACTGTGAGAGACCCCACCATTTCAAATGAAATTTTGCATGGTATTATAAAATATTTTATGTGATAACTTGTGTCTTAATTGATACGGAAAGGGAGTTAATCTTTTCCCTTCAATCTGCAACAATCTTCTTTCTTATTATTCTTCCTCTTCTTCTTCTTCTTCTTCTTCTTTTAATTTATTTTTTTAAATTATCTTGTTTTTAACCTTTGAACTATCTCTGTCTCGTGCAAAAATCAGGGTTTCAAAGTGGCCAACATGCCAGATGCATTTCTTAGAGGTCTTGCAACTGCGAATCTTTCTGGGAGAGCACAGATAGTTTATGATCGTTATGCATCATCACATAATTCAACAATGGAATCTGAGAACTCAAATGGAGATTTAGTATTCTATTTGGATGGAGCTCATAGTCCAGAAAGCATGGAGGCTTGTGCTAATTGGTTCTCCAGTGTCGTGAAGGGCAATCATAAGTCGCCACATTGTTTTATGGCTAAAAATATTGACAGGGATTCAGAAAATGATGACCTTGTAAAAGTCATGCAGGAAGCCGAGTCCAAAAAGGTATCAAAGCAGGTAATTTCCACAATTTAACATTACATTGTGGCATTTGTGGTTTTACTTTCAGCATTGCTGATGAATTATTCCCATTATCCAGTTTTTGCTTTTAATTTTTAAATATATTTTCTGGAAATCCATTAAATTTTGATGATCCTAAAAACAGTCAGAATTATTTTCCCTGCCTTGTAGATTCTCCTATTCAATTGCATGGAAGTGAGAGACCCTCAAATCTTACTTCCGCGACTTGTGAATACATGTGCTTCCTCAGGTATTAGTATTACTTCTCTAAAGACCAAGAATTAGTTAATGTATACATGTGCTTCCTCAGGTATTAGTACTACTTCTCTAAAGACCAAGAATTAGTTAATGTCCTTAATCGTCATTCGTCAAAGGAATTATCAATCCTTGACAGTCTAATTAGAAATCTTTCCCTTCAACAATGTGGTATTCTATAGTAGTCTAGTAATTACCATTAGTCAAATTAAATGCAATAAATACAAATTGCCACATCCTTTTATTGGTTTCCCTTTCCCATATAAATATGTTGTTTAACTTGTTTTACAAAATCATTTGTTGACTGAATTTACTGCTCTTTGAATTCTTTATGTTTGTTTCATTATACTTAGGTTCTCCCATCTGAACCTTGAACGAAAATAGTTCCTTAGTGTAATGCTTGTGCCCTTGTCTTTTTCTTCTTTTGAAAGAATAAATAACTGAAACAATGTAGTATTATATTGCAAAAAGAGAGTACAAATCAGAGGCGCTTAGAAAGTGTATGCCAACTAGCAACCAAAAAACTTTTCTTCAGGACTCTTCAAATGTTCTTCAGTTTCCCTCAAGCTAAATTAAACAACCCACAAATATCAGGAATAATTATTACGGCCATTGCCAAAGAACCTTGAGCTATAATATCCTCCCCTTATGGGAGCAGAGACCAATTGAGATTGAAATTTTCGCATAAAACATCCCTTATTTTCTGTAGAAACTAAGGTTTGAGAGAACCAGATAGATCTTATTCTCGTTACTGAAGTCTATATATAGAGACAAATATACAAAGTTGACCTAATCTTAGAAGGGGAAGGTAAAGGACAAATGAATACATATTATTTACAAGAATGTAAAATATACTAATATATACTCTAACACTCCCCCTCAAGTTGGTGCATATATGTTAATCATGCCAAACTTGTTAGAGAGATAATCTATCCGTGCTCCGATCAATGCTTTAGTGAAGATATCTCCTAACTGCTCTCCAGTCTTCACATATCCTGTAGCCACCAATCCTTGCTGTATTTTCTCATGTACATAATGACAATCAACTTCAATGTGTTTGGTTCGTTCATGAAATACTGGATTAGATGCAATATGGAGAGCTGCTTGATTATCACACCAAAGTTTCATTGTAGTGGTGATGCCAAATCCCAATTCAGTCAGAAGTTGATATATTCATACTAATTCACACACCGACTGTGCCATGACTCGATATTCTGATTCAGCACTTGAACGTGACACCACATTTTGTTTCTTACTTTTCCAAGAAACTAAATTACCTCCAACAAATACACAATATCCTGAAGTTGATTTCCTATCTTCCTTAGAACCTACCCAATCAGCATCTGAAAAAATTCAATATTAAGATGACCATGATCTTTGTATAACAAACCACGTCCAGAAGTACCTTTCAAATAACATAGAATATGTTCCAATGCGGCCCAATGGTCAGTCGTAGGAGAACTCATAAACTGACTCATAATACTGATTGGATAAGCTATGTCAGGCCTAGTAACTGTAAGTTAATTCAACTTCCCTACTAACCTCCTATACTTGTCAGGATCTTTCAACAACTCCCCTTCTTTTGTAAGTTGTAAATTAGGCATCATTGGAGTACTACGTGGCTTAGCAGCTAATTTTCCTGTTTCAGTTAACAAGTCAAGTACAAACTTTCTTTGTGACAAAAGGATCCCCTTCTTGCTCCTTATTACCTCAATTCCTAAGAAGTATTTCAACATTCCCAAATCTTTAGTATGAAATTGACTATAAAGAAAAGACTTGAGTAATAGGATGCCTGATGTATCATTACCAGTAATCACATCATCAACATATACAACTAGTAAGATAACACCTGACTCAGATCTTTTATAAAAAACAAAATGGTCTGACTTACTCTTTTTCATTCCAAAATTCTCAATCTAAACCATGCTCGCGAACTTTGTTTCAACCCATATAAGGATTTACGAAGGTGACATACATTTCCATTCTCCCTTTGAGCAACAAAACCTGGTGGTTGCTCTATATACAGTTCTTCTTGAAGATTACCATTGAAGAATGCATTTTTAATATCAAGCTAATGCAAGGGCCAATGGTGAATAGATGCCAAGGAAATGAATAAGCTGACAGAAGCCAATTTAGCAACTGGAGAAAAAATATCAGAATAATCAATTCCGTAAGTCTGCGCATGTCTTTTAGCAACAAGGCGAGCTTTCAAACGGGCAATTGATCTATCCGGATGAACTTTAACAGCAAACACCCATTTACAACCGATCGGTTTCTTTCCTGCAGGAAGAGACACTAAATCCCAAGTACCATTGTCATCTAAGGCAGTCATCTCCTCCAACATAGCAGCTCGCCAACCAGGATGAGACAAAGC